ATATATATATATATATAATGATCAAAATCGTGAAAGGAAATCGTAATAAGAGAGTAGAGAATGAATTATCCACGAATTCCAACGACAGAAATTATATCGTCTTGACTTACTGATCTCATTCCTGACAAGTGTTGCATCAGAAATATGTCAAAACCCAGCATGCAAATTTGTTGTTTATTGGTCATTCTCCTAGCACTGATTATTCGCATTCTGAACGCAATTTTGATCACGTTTCAGTAGATTAAGACATTGAAAGTTTGAAAGTCATACTAATACATATAAATGGATAAATATGTATTTATTTTATTTATTCATTTATATTTATTATTATCAGTTTCGTTTTTTTTGAAAGGAAATTTTCTGAGTTTAAAAATGACTATACATTTATTTTTATGAGTTCAAATTAATTTTTTTCTATGAAAAAGATGATGATTCTTCACTACATGGCATTTTATGAGTGAATGCATGTTACTGATCGTCTTAGAAAACATAAAAGAGTTTTTTTTTTTTTTTTAATGAAAAGTTATTCAAATAAAGAGATTAATCCTAAAATGGATGATGATAACTTTGCTTTTGTTTTTTCCGCGGATAACCTAATTCTTGAGTATTTTACAACGCTGCACCAATGGTGAACTAAATCCATTTAGAACCTCATTTAGCTGATGACATTATTACTTATTTTAATCTGTGCGAGTTTGTTTCAGCAAAAATGCGAAGCAGAAATGGTGCAAGTTGAAGCGACTGAGCCATATCATCTCTCACGACTTTCTAGTCTCGATGTTACTGCTTTAACCATCACTGCCGAAAAAATTTGTTCTAACTCTGCAAATGTCAAAAACAAGAGTTTACAAGCTTCTAGTAGTACCTTTAGCCATTCAAACAGTACAGCTATTCAATTCACGAAGTAAATGCGATGTATTAGTTTTGAATTGCTTTCTAACGATAGATAAATTCTGCAGCATACTTGACATGTTTATTTGATCACATCGACATGGTATTATGATAGATATTGCAAATTGAAACTGGAAGTTAACTTCGCATAATTCTCAATTTAATACAGTGAACGCAAATGATATTTGATATTGATGACGTGTAGTTATTCATCATGGACGAAGAAGCATTTGAGGTAGAATAATTCGGTGATGTGGGAGGCTGTATCATAATGAGAAGCAATGCTGGTCTGTAATGGACTGATAAAGTGGAAATCCTTGAAATTTTCATTTATTACTTTTTACAGCTCGCTCAGGCATTTCACTTTCCTCATCGTTGGATGATAAATCACAAGCAAAGAGAAAGTTCTTAACCTAATGCTTATAATTCCAGCGGCTAAAAACAGACGCTAATTCCACATCACCTGTATGTATGCACAATTTTATGCTTTCTGTTCTTCTTAATTTCTCTTAAACAATTCTAAGTGGTCTAATGGTTTTTCAATGAAAAAGCAGTCAGAGGGCGCAAAACCATTATGAATGGTTATATTATACACTTTCCAACTGCTTGCAGATAATCATGTCAATATTGTAAAGATTAATATCGCAGGTATGTCCATCTTTTATTTTTTTGAACCGATATAACGTATTTCAGCTTTATAGATCGAATATATGTTGAACGTTCATAGAACAAGTCAATCAAAATTTTTGAAGCAATCGACTACGGAAGAGAAAGTAAAAATAATGAGATACACAGTGTAAATTCTAAAATATCATATCGCATGTACATAATGAGGCCACCAAATTCTTGTGTTTTTAGGCAATCGTCCCGACATTCTGAAAAAAGTTGAGAGACCGTTACTGAACGCATGTTTTTGCACTTACACTTCATTTGTCATGAGTTCCAACGTTATGCCGGAAACTTCTCACTTTGAATCTTAGATATTTTTATTCTATCTAAACTGTCTCAAATGATTTCAGTTCTTAAATAAGTTTGAAGAATTAAACGCACTTCTAACACAGCTGCTGTCCTATCATTTTGGAGACTGAAAGACTGATATAGCCAATATTCAATTATTTGTGAAATACAGTATTGAAGAATGAATATAAATTAAAAACGTTTCACCGTACTGAAAAATGATGTGCAACCAATATGTTAGCTAGCAGAATGCAAAAATTCGAGAAAATTCATTCATCGTAACTATATTATTAGAAATAGTGAAACTTTCAGTAGGATATCCAATATCATTTACTTACACTTTTCAAGTATAGTTCCTTGCAAATATCATAATAATTACAAATAAATGAACAAGTCAAAATATGAATGTGCACAACCATACATAACAACAACAATGTCATACAGAGGCTAGTCTTCTAAGCATCAATGGTGTTAGCACTTGATCGTATCCAGGCAACTTAGCTATACTCACCTCGCACTCAGCTCTGCTGCACTGCCAGGTGTTCCGCCGTCTTCACACGTTTCCTACAGTAACGGTACATATTCTTTTCAACTCCAAGCATATTTCTATGCTAGAGGTGACAGCGTCACGCCTTTTCTCGAAAGAGAACGTTTCCCTGTTTCAGCCACATTGATGAATTTATACCATTGAGGATCCTCTAATAGGCTTTGCGTAGCTAGCTTTTTCCCTGCCTTGCTATATAAAATATTCAGTAACAGCAATGACAGAAGTGCAGCCGTGCTTGTTCCTGAAACATATGGCTGATAACTTTGCACAGACAAATTAACGAACTCAGTGGGCAGCTTCGGTGTAAGTAAAGTGAGGTAAAGTAAACACATAATTCCATGTCATTTTAGATGAGAGAGGACTGCGATGTATACCAAGTGAAGCTTTTCTAACGGGTAATGCAGGAATGACGAAGCAGCAAAGATACAACAAACCTTAATTCCCATTACAATTGTTCATGGAGTGTACTGCACATGGCAGTGATTGTCACGTTAGCATGATATAGAAGCAAGTGGTGAGGTGAATGGTTGGGAGCGGGGGATGAGAAGAGAGCGAGAGAAAGATGAGAGACGTCTGATATGCTTGCTTGTGTAGTGACGATTGGTTTATGTACTGTTTCAGTTTTACTTCCCATTTTTCTTTATTTAAAATTTAAAAGGAGCTTGTGAACTATGGATTGTTCTACTTGCATTTGCGGAGACAGAGTGAAGAAATGTGTACTCTTTCATTTCTAGATGCTGAACTCACCCATAATTTATCACATCAAAAGATTATATTTGAAGCGATGAAATGTGAAGCGGAGGATTCGTTGTAGATAGGGAAGTTTGTCGAATATGCTAGAAAAATTTCTTAATGCAAATTCTGCAATTGTTATTGCTACTATTTGTGACAGATTTTATGATGATGTCTTGATTTGCAGTTCTTATTAAAACGATTTGAGCACAAATACTATGTATAAATCCAAGCAAAACGCTGATAATATGTCTTGGCAGTCACATCGGGCTGTCCATTCATCGTCGCCTACTTTGGAACTTAGGCACGTTAATTCATATATGAGTAGTTATGTGATGTTTGCTCTGGATAGGTAGTGGAAGATGCATTACGTAAATTGAAATAATGCAATTTCGATCGCAATATTAGTTGTATTAGAAGAACACTCTGTTTTGCAATATTTTTCATGATCTGTATAGTATTTGAAATCGTCACATATTAAATTTCATGCCCAGTTTTACTTTTGAGTTTCTTGAGTTTACTGCTTTACACGAAAATCTGTCTCACTTATCGCTTTTAACAGGGATTCAAGTAAAACCGTTTCGATAACAACTACATGCTTGAGCTATGTTGTGTATACTTGTAACATTATCATGGCGGTGAGTTGTTTCGCCTATATTAAATCTTTTGTAAACAAAATTGCAATAAAAAGCATCGACTGCATAAGATAACAGTAACTGTTATTTACGTGAAAAAATGATTCATATTTCTAGGTTGCTGGTTGGGAATTGTTAACTTTTAGTATTTGGCTTCATGCAGACTCTAATTTGCGTAGTTTTACATCTTATCGGTTCACAAATGTCGCTGAAGAAATAGTTTGGCAAGTAAGATGACTTAAGCACAAATTTGATACTTGCTTTAATATATTTTATAATTGAAGATTATGAAACTTCGTTTTGTCTTGATCATGAGTTTTTACTTATTAGTCATGTGCAGCCGATTAGTTGTGAAAATTTTCATTGTTATAGATCCTTCATTAAATTTGCAGGCTCCCACACTATATATATATGTGTATGGGATGATAATTCATGGAATTTATATGATCGTAGTTGCACTTATTGGCTGCTGTGGTTCATCTCGTGAATCTCCTGTTCTTCTCACAATATATGTAATAACAGTATCTGTTATCGTTGCATGCACTATGTCATCAGCAGTTTATCTTATCTTCATAAAATCCAATGTACGTTTTTGACACTCTTTCGAAAATGATTGTCTTTTATTTCTGTAAACTCATAGTTTTTAATAATGAAAAAAATTGTCAAGGTTGATGCTGAAATATCTAATACATTGGCTCAAATGGTTCAAAATTATTATCGAGGGAGTGGAATTATTACAGAAAGCTTGGACAGATTACAACAGGCATTTCAATGTTGTGGTATTATTTTTTTCCATTCATTGAATAAACATAGTTCATTATTTCTCGATTGGCTTTCGCATCTTGAAGGTGATAGCGAAATCAGCTTACATTGGTGGTTATTTAATAAAATTTTTTTATATGATGTGTTGCACTCTGCTTTTCTCAGATTGCATGAAATCGTAAGTAATATAATTTTAAATTCAGTATTTCAATTTGTTACCAGTAATGTTACATTTGTTCGCTAAAGTAAAGCAAAAATATTAGTGAGTTTAAGGTAATGCTGGTTGTAGTGATTTTCGACTCCTGCAACAGGATATTCCTCATTCATGTGACATCAGGTGTGATGGTTGTAGCCATCGTATAATGCTTACCCTGCGAATTGGTTTTTCTATTGCATTCGTTTATTCCATCATCACTGGTATTGTCGAGGTTTCTTTAAAGAAATATAAATTCTTAGCCTGGACCACTTTAATTTTCGTTATCAGAAATTTTTTATAACTTATTTTAACCATATTTGTTTTTCTGGGATGGCACAGTGGGCATTTTTTTAAAGTTCAGTTATTGCAGTTAATTGCAATTGTGGCGGGATTATTTCTTATCATAAGATCAAAGAGGAGCTGGAATCAAAGGTGGCTGATTAAAATAGATGATAACAAAAATAAATGTAAAAATAACTCTTACTGGTATCTAAGAGATTGCCATAATTTGGATTCACTGCGGAATAGTTATTATCAAGATGTGGTTTCAAGCAGCTCACATTAGTAGTTTACAGTAAACAAATGTGAGTTGGTTCGTTCACATATTTTAAGAAGTACTGCTGGTTATTGCTAGACTAACAATTATATTTAATTTTTTGCTATATTTCTGAGATTTTTGTAAGCGAAAATAAATGACAGAGTGTATACTTCTAAACTTGGTGCTCTGATTTTTCGAAAGTTTCTGCTGCTTCAACATACATTCCTCATTAAAAGGAAATCAATTTCTTCAGAAGTGTATTAGGTTATAAGCAAGTGTTGCTTCATGACTGACATATTTTTCCTCCTAAGAACATCAGTTAATAGAGAGAATAACTTTAAGGTTTTAATGTGCGTCTTAAGGTCCGTGATTGCAATTTTTTTATAGTATTCAAGACATTTCACTTTATTAATTTTTTTCTTTGTAAGATTTATCACTGACACTGTGGCTATTTATGAGCAAATATTATCACCTTTTTAATTTTGTTAATTTTTATTAGCATCAGTACCATTTAATTTACTAATTGAAACGATCACTTGTTAATTTGCTTTTTGTCTGCATTAATGCTGACTTATCATTCATTTGTTGTAGAACTAAGAACTGCAATTAACTATATTTATCAAATCACTTCAAACTTTCAACATCATATTATTTGTTGTTTTTCACACTACTTAGTTGCCAAATAAGTGTGCGTTCTCCAACTGAATTATCCAAATTTTACTTTCATCTTTACATGTAGATTTTTGTTTGATATATGCTAGATATAAAATTATGAATGCAAGGGTTCTTTAGAACACTTCTTACCGATTGAACAGATTTAAATTATGAATGCAAGGATTCTTAAAACACTTTTTTACTAGATAAAAAAGTTTTGCGTTTTGCTATTTAATATTTCGGTAACACATCTCTTAGGCGTGGTATTGAAAACCAACCGAAGTTTGTGCATAACTTGATATGTTTTCATGTTCATTCAATAGGGTAGTTCTGTGAAAATAGTTTTTCCAAAATGGGCAGAGTATTTACTGTCGACATCCAGAACTATGGAGGGGAAGTTTTCTGAACTGTAGATCATTTCAAGCTGCCACTGCTAACTCCTAACACCTCTTTCTTACTCAGTTTTGCATATTGCGACGGCTTCCACAATTCATAGGCAAGCTTGCATGAGGAATGAAATTATATGTTGAAAGTAATATATTACATATGCATATCATTGCTAGATTATGGTGAGTGTCGATTGATGCTCATGTCATACGTGGATCACATCCGACAAGAGACGGTATGGGATGTTGTTGTTTCATTTCATACCTCTGATCATTTTGTGCAGCGATCAGTTGTTAATCTGTATTCAACCTTAAAATTATGGAAAAGTAATTTGTTATACCGTTATTTGAGAAAGTGCTCTTATCTATTTCGTATATTTACGTAATGAAGTATTACTCTCACTTTTCAGCGTTTTCCATATGAATTGTTGGCTTCTATGGTTTTCCTCGTACCAACTATCGGGATCATTTTGAATGAATGAGGAAAGAAGTTCGCATTTCTATCAGACGACCATGTGGAATGGTGAAAGTTTAAGAACCAACTTTCTGAATGCCGTTCAGGTCTTCAACTTTCTTATGCAATAGCATTGGTTCAAAGTTTATGCTTCTTTTCTAACTTATAAAGCATTTGGAGTTTATAAAAATAGTTTCTCTTATTGTAGCAGTTTGTGATTTTAGATTTATGAAATAGACTTTCTCTGCTTGAAAAGTTTTAGTTGAAATTGTGAGTGAAGTGGTTTGGAGTAATCCATTTCAATTATTGTTACAGCACATTTCTTTGAAAAACTTTTGTTACGGACTTTACAGAGCGCGGGGTCTCAAGAAATCCCTAATGGACTCGTGGAAGATTTTAGAACAGCATTAGATATACTGGCTCAGGCTGCACCTACTTCTAGTGTAACATCCATTGAAGCAGGTAGTAATACAAGTTTTCTAGTGTGAATTCATAAATTAGGTGCACTTTAATTCAATTAAGAAATGTTGATAGTTTGCAGCTTGCTCTTGCCACTGCTCAGATTGTTTTATAGTTCCACCATGTCATTTACTGCACGTTTCATTAAGCGACGTGCAGGCTGTCATAAAATTTTATAGTGTAATTTCCGTGTTCTAGGCGAATCTTACTTTTATTATCAAATTAGATCTGCTTACAGGGTGAAATTACAGTTAAAAAACTGTTATAGAGTAATATAAGATTACTGGGAGCTTCACTCTCCTTTAAAATTCATTATTCCAGGAAGTAGAATTGATCGTGCAGATACGGTTATTCTTATGGATGAAGATAGTTCTTCTGGTGGTTCTAGGCACAGGCTTACGCCAAATAGTAACGGCAATCAATTCGAAAGATCCAGAAGTTTGTGGACTTTCATTACTTTCTCTTCGTTTACCACAATAAGATTTTTGAAGCTCAGCATTTATGTGCGTTATGAGAAGTGCAATGTATTTTTTAGCTGACTCATCTATTAATCAAGGAGATCACACTTCTACAAATGGTGGTACAGCAAATCTTCAAAGAGAACTAAGCCGTCTTCGTGATTTCATTCAGAGTGCTGAATTGCAGAGGGTATGGATTTAAAATACGATTTTCGAGTTCAGTACCTTTTTCATTTGGTAGAACTAGTTCAAACGATATTTAAGGAAAACCCATTTCCTGTTAGCTGAAAATAATGCATAAATTCTTCATACTTCCAGTTTTCGGTTCTGTTACTCAACACTGTGCCATTTGTCATCATTTTGCTTTCTAAAACTGTCATTGATGGATTTTATTCATTGCTCACCCTTTTATCCGCATTTATTTCCTTTCATGTTGCAAACAGCACTTTTCTAGCTTCCAGAAGGTATTTTTCCACTTTCTTTGCTTTTTTTATTTTCCTCTAACTAATTCATTTCATTTTAACAAATACAATCCCCAACGTTTTTTGGTGTTGAATTATCAACTTATTTCACATTATTTCTCATCGTTACATTACTTCCAAATTTTGTTTTCATTATCTTCTGTGTATTTCATTGCTATTCGTATTACTGTTTCATAGTTCAATCATTAATTAATTTTCAGGGAGAAGCGTTACTTTAATCTATTGCAGTCCTTCGCATCTTCCTTTTTGTTTTTCAATTTTCACTCATTTTTTTACGGTATTATTCCTGTTAGTTTATATAGATACCATGATTCGAAAAAGAGTGTCATCGTTTTTAAATATCATGATTTTTGAGATTTATTCATAAAAGATTTTGTTTTCAGGATTGGATTCAGTTTATCTACCATTAACATTTATGTCACATCTCATAAAACCTGTCACTTTCTTCAGCACATTACATGTTGTCTTGGTCAATGATTTTGCTGTAAAAATTATAACAGTCGAGTTAAAAGCTGGAGTATGGTTTTATTTATTTCGCATTAAACTTTTCATTGTATATCAGTTTGCTGTGATATCGTTGTATATCTAGCTTTTGGAGAGGAGTTCTCATATCACTGTGATTTTTTTTGTCGTGGTATTTTCATGAGCTCACACACTGCAAAAAGAGTAAGAAGACGTAAGATTTATTTCTAACGCCCTCAAAATTCATTCATCAAAATTCAAGTTTACTATATGATCATATCTTGTGTGCGAGTAACATTTAATAACTGATTGTTACACAAATCAATTAAATTCGAGATACTAAATCAGATTAAAAACGAGATACTAAATCAGATTATAGTTGCAAGTCTACTTGTCAAATAGTTTAGAATTGTCCCGTTATAGTCTAATTAAATTTGGTTTGTTTTACATTTTTTTCAAATTTAAAGATGATTTTTTACTCTATTTTAGCTTACTCTTTTGCCGGTAAAAATAATTGGCGATAGACGTTTGCGTCGACTTTTTCAATGGCTTGAATATACCAGTCAATTCTATCGCTATATTTTGCCTATTCCACATTGGATGCGTTATCTTAGCTATTCACAATTCTCTACTCCATTGACTTCTTTTAGCGATCATTTTTTTGCTGTAATATACATACTCTATAAAGTAAGTATATGAGTGAGCTTTAAACATGAAGATAAAAGCAAGAACAACAGTGAGATGTTTTGCATTTGTAGGATATTTTGCAGATTTTTGCATTTCAGGCATGCTTAATACACATAATTGGCAAACGTTGGTTTGAGAGCACGAAGCGTATTTTTCGTTTAGCTTCTATTGGCTTCAATATATCAATGAAAAGTGAAGAATCAATGCAGTGCACGATTTGCTTTAATGATTTGTGCAGTCCAATGAAGGTTTGTCGCGTTTTAATTTAACTTTATTTATTGATTTGTAAATATTTCTATAACTGGATCATGTCAATCTTGTCGTTTAAATAAGTTTTTCCATTTGTTACATATTTAGTAATTTTTTTTCGTTAAAGTTGTCCAAGTAGTTTTGATTTCAGTCTAAATAATTTTTAACTGTTTGTGAGCATCACTTAACTGGTGTTCTCGGATTTTAATTTTCTAATTTAACCATTTTCAGCTTTCTTGTGGTCATATTTTTTGTGAAGAATGTATCAGCATTTGGTTAGACAGTGAACATACCTGCCCAATGTGCCGAGCAACAGTTGCCCAAGAAGATAATATGTGGAAAAGTGGAGAGACTACATATTCCCCGCAGTTGTGCTAGTGACATTTGCTCGTAAATTTTCTTTTTAATTTGTGATTTTCAGTACTGCCTGGAGAGGTAATGAGACCAAGTTTTTGCATGTTAATAGTATAAGGTTTCTACCATTTTTTTGTGATTTCTCTACTGTTATATTCTCAGTGACTGTTTATAAAACATAGCAATGAAACAGAAATTAATTTAAAAAAAATTATGGGTGTGATTTACTGCTTTCAATATTGGGAGAATTATTGTGCCGATTTCAAGATTCGTTCACGTTTAATGTAAATTCCTTCTTTACCATAAAAATTGTTTTTAAATTACTCAGAACAAAGGTTTTGAGGCATAATTTAAAAATATACGGGAAGATAATGATGTTTCTGTCATCATTGGTACGTTAAATAGGTAAATAATATATTTTCGTCTCTTTTTGTGGAATTCCTTAAACAGTGTTTGTGCTTTTTATTCGGGTTTTGTTTTCTTGTTAATTTATTTCGCCATGCCATGACTGTCTATTGTACTAAACAGAACTAGCAAGAATTATCGAATATTGGTGCTGGTGAAAATTAGTTTAATTTGTTGTTGTCAGAAAATACTTTGTTGATTATTAGTTATTACTTGAAATTTCCTTATGATTTATAGCAATTAAGTTCGGAAACACCAGTTAATATTTAATTCAATGTATTTTAAGTTAAGAAATTTGCAGTTTTTGCCAAGTTGTATTATGAAGACGGTAGGGTTCTTGTTGATGACGTTATAGAGATAATGCAATGAAATTTTGTGCCTTCTATTTTGGTCTCATAAACAAGTTTAGGAGTTGGTTTAGATAATACTGTAGTTGGTAAGGTTTGTGTTTGGAAGACAGTACAACATCCGCCGAATAAGTTTGAAGAAGTTTGAATAGGTATTTTTCGCTTACATCCTCTGAAAAGAATAACCAGAAACTTTATAGACTTGCAGACTTTTGTAAATAAAATTAATGGAATCAATTAGATGAAGTCATTTATAAATCTTTAAAACATGAAGATAGATATGTGAAAAAAATTGAGCGAGGGTAGTCACTGAAGTGGATGATTCTGTATTCGAATCTTCACTTAAATTGCTTTCAATTAACCTATACTGGAATTTTGCTGTGATATTAGTACGTTATATACACTTATATTGTTATTCTAGAAAAACTTGTCATTGGATTCGGTGTATTTCTTGAAGCTTTCATTCCCTGTAGTTAGTATTTACCTATTGACATATGCATGACTTAAGTTTAAAGGGTAGCATTTATTTCTCCTGAAGAACTGTGCCAGACAATCTAAACAAGCAATAGTTAGTGTACAGAAAGTAATGGTTCCATGAGTTAATGTTATGAGCTATTAGTTACGGAAATATTTTCCCACTGAAGCTGTTGGAATTGTTCATCTGCATTGTAGTATTATGCAGTTTTATGTGTTAATTTGTTCACATTTATAATTATTAAGTCAGGAAAAAAAGCTTAGAGCAACATGACATTAGGATTTGATTTCATATCATAAAAACCTGGAGGCGTCAATAATTTTTTATTCATTTGAATGATAACTTACAGCATTACATTTTATACTGCTCTTAGGACGAAGTTCATATTTTAAAGAGAAAGCTGTTTCTAATAAAAACATTCTTACTTCATTCTGAACATAATTTTTAGATTTACAGCTCTAGCCCTTGCAGTCTGTGAAAGATCGGAGTGTTTGCAATAGAAATGTTAGCTAAGAAATAATCCTTATCTGAACTATTTAATTTTTATAATTGCTATAGGTTTTCAGTACATGATATTAGCAAGATGTGACTTGTCGTTTGTTCTGCTTGAGGTCGGCCAACGGAAGGTCCACCGGATATCATAACCCACAATAAGAAACAACAAGTAATCCTGATAGAACATCACTGGTCAGGACAAGTTGACAACAGTCGATACCGAGATGAGCAAAAATAATGATATACTGTCTATTAAACTCGGGCCAGGGACGACAGGACGAAAACAATTCCATATGTGTGATAACTTGGGATGGGATTGTAACCGACTTCCGTAAACGCTACGCGAAGGAGATCAATATATCTGACCACGTGAGACATATATGCATAAACCAGTCGATATTGTTTAAGAAAGCGCTCGAAAGTATCTCATTCGTTACCGGTATGAATTTTAGAAGGGTGAGGCAAAAGAGATCAGTACAATAAAATCTGAGTGAAGGACAAGTACAGCCAGAGTACTGGAATACGATCTAGAGCCAGAAAAGAACACTAACCTCTATATACATATAGAGAGAAAGTGGGCTGAGGTAGCTTTCAGTGGTTGATTTGGAAGAAATAACGTAGAATGAACAAAATATACTGCATTTGCTCCTTGTCGCAGTCTCTCTTTTATCATAGAAAAATCTTAGAAGAATTATGAGTTGGAATGCCAGCATATCATTATTTTTGCTTATCTCGGTCGGTATCGACTGTTGTAAACTTGTCCTGACCAAGGATGCCAACCTCTATCAGTATTACTTGTCGTTTCTTTTTGTGGGTCATGGTATCCGGTGAATCCGCTTTTATTTTGATTGCAGTTCTTACTCTCGTATCGACTGTGATCTCTACGTTCTCATTCACAACAACCTCAGAATAGCTTTCCATTCACAGGAATGCTTTAGATCGTACTTATTGTAGAATACCGTGAATGCATCACACAACGTCATTATGTCTTCTAGTATAGTCGTGATATAACATTTCCGAGCATTGCTACCGTCTTCATACGTTTTATACAATGTTGGCACTTATATTTTTCAACTTCAAGCATATTTCTATCCTGGACGTAATCTTGCGAGGTAATGTTTCCGTATCGTAGCCATATTGATGAATCAGCTGTAGACGAGATTTTATTTGTCCGTATCTTGTATAGCCCTGCATGATAAGTTTGTTTTTCTATTCCGCTATACAAGACGCCTTCTAGGCTGCTAATACGTTTTCGACGCTAGGATTTTCTGCTAGGTTGTGCTTAATCTTTAGATTGGGCACAGTAGTTGCTAAGTGTGTTGTAACTTCGGAGTCTGAAACAAATTCTTCCAGATATTCATTGTGCCGAATATCATCGTCTTCTCCCACTTTCGAATTCCACATCGTGGCTAAGAACTCTCTGTTTTCCTCTGTCTCTGCATTGTGGCTAACAGGTTGTTCTCAGTTAGTTTTTTATACAATCGCCTTCTGAACAACTAAAAATGCACATTAGGACTCATAACTTTTATTCTATTTTCATAAACTCTCACACGTTCTGTCAGCATGCTCAAGGCTTCATGACAGTCACGTTTGAGAGCAAGCATGAGATTCATGCTTCTCATACACTTTTCGGCTCCCTTCAGATTTTTAAATTCAAGTATTTCAGCTGCCAAATATCGCTGTATGAGTGTTTTGTGGATATCATTTTCACTTCTTTTCTATTTGCCTTCCCAGCCATTAGTTAACTGATCTATTGGTGTGCTGGGATGTTCTCTCGTACTGCTACCATATCCACCGTTCTAGCGTCGTTAGCTGTCGGTACCAATACGATTGTTGTCGCAGCTGTTCGCACTGGTATTTAGCCATTCACTTCCATCGTCGCATCATAACATCGCCATAACAGACATCTGTCTGTAGAGCGGAGAAAAAAGTAGAAACAAATTACCAGAAAATGTGTTTCGTCTAATCTAAAAACAGGCACAATTTTCGTCCACAGGTACTTGAAACTTGGGTAATATATCCTATATATATATACCTATCTAAAGACTAGGTACAATCGCTGGAAATCCTAGCGTTAAAAACATATTAGCAGCCCAGAAGGCGTTCTTGTATAGCGAGATATAAAAGAAAACCCACCATGCAAAGCTATACAAGATGCGGACGAACAAAA